TGGGGGCTCGTAGGGGGATTTCAGGAGGAGAAATGGGAATCTGGGGGCTCATAGGAGGATTTTGGCGAGGAGAAATGGGAAATTGGGGGCTCAAGGGGGGATTTGAGGGGAGAAACAGGAATTTAGGGCTTCACGGGGAGATGTTGGGGGGGGGTGAAATGAGGATTTTGGACCCCCCACCCACCTTGCTGCAGCTCTATGTCCCTGGGGGGGGCATGGCAGAGGCGGGCAGCCTCATCCCGAGCTTCGTCCTCGCTGCGTGCCACCACCCAGAGCCCCCTGTCGGGGGGGTCACTGCCAGGGGGGGACACCCCCACTTTGTAAGCAGGCACCCTGTGCCCCCACCACAGCTGTCGAGAGAGGCACCAATCCCTGGGGGTGGGGGGATGGTAGGGTCAGCGGGGGGGAAGGGACCCCCACCCATCCCCCAAGGGCATTTCGGGGGCATCTCCCATAAATTTTGGGGACGTTGCCTCAGATTTTTAGAGATTCAGGGGAGCCCTGAAGATTTTTTAAGGACCTCTCCCCCACCTCCCCTCAAAAATGCATTGGGGTCCTCCAGCATCCCACAATGCATTGGGGCCTTCCCACCCCGGGTCCTCCAGCATCCCAGAATGCATTGGGGTCCTCCAGCATCCCACAATCCCACAGGGTCCTCCCACCCCAGATCCTCCAGCATCCCACATTGCTTTGGGGTCTTCCCACCCCAGGTCCTCCAGCATCCCACAATGCATTGTGGTCCTCCCACCCCAGGTCCTCCAGCATCCCACAATGCCATGGGGTCCTCCCACCCCAGGTCCTCCAGCATCCCACAACGCATTGGGGTCTTCCCACCTCAAGTCCTCCAGCATCCCACAATCCCATGGGGTCCTCCCACCCCAGGTCCTCCAGCATCCCACAATGCATTGGTGACCTCCCACCCCAGATCCTCCAGCATCCCACAGTGCATTGTGGTCCTCCAGCATCCCACAGTGCATTGAGGTCCTCCACAATCCCACAATCCCATGGGGTCCTCCCACCCCAGGTCCTCCAACATCCCACAACGCATTGCGGTCCTCCCACCCCAGGTCCTCCAGCATCCCACAATCCCACGGGCTCCTCCCCACCTCACCCCACGTTGTCCATCCACGTCTTCCAGTTCTTCTCATGAAACCTGGGGACAAGCTGAAGACGCCCCGATACCACCGCCTTGTGGGGGAGTAGAGGGGGGGGGAAAAAAGGTCAAAAGTTCACCTCCCTCCCCAAATAATGTCCCCCCCCCCAAAAAAAAATGTCCCCAACTGACCTCACGGGCACACTGTGCCATCTCCTGACACTGCAGGAACCACTGGTCCTTAAGGAGGTACTCAATGACGTCCCCCGAGCGGCTGTAGGGACGTTGGGGACATCTCAGGGATGTGTCCCCCCACGAGTGGGGGGGGAAAGGGGGGGGGACATGTCCCCAAAGTGGGACAGGGGGGGTTACCTGCACATGGGCAGTGTCATGGCGTGGTCCTGGGTGCCCCGGTACAGCCCGCGCTGGGACAGAGCTGTCACCACTTTGTCCCTCGCCACGAAACGGTGGACGCCCTGGGGATGGGGTTGGGGACGTTGTTGGGGACAGCAGGGGACAGAGGGATGGGGTTGGGGACAGGAGGGGACATGAGGGGACACGTGGACATAGGGATGGGGTTGGGGACAGGAGGGGACGTGGGGACGGGGTTGGGGACATGGGGGACTTGGGGATGGGGTAGGGGACATTGTTGGAAACAGGAGGGGACATGGGAATGGGGTTAGGGACAGGAGGGGACGTGGGGATGGGGTTAGGGACATGGGATCCTGAGGGGATGTGGGGACAGGGTTGGGGACATGGGGATTTTGTTGGGGACAGCAGGGGACACAGGGATGGGGACATGGAGACGGGGACATGGATGGGAACAGGAGGGCAAAGGGACAGAAGAGGACATGGATGGGGACAGGAGGGGACATGGGGATGGGGAAACGGACATGGGGACACGAAGGGACATGGGGTTGTGGTTGGGGACATGGGGACAGGAGGGGACATGGGGAGGGAGATGGGGACACGGATGGGGACAGGAGTGGGACAAATGTGGGGACTGGAAATGGAAGGAAAATCAGGAGGTGACAAGGGACGCAGTTTTGAGACACAACCTGGGGACGTGAGGACGGGGAGGACAACAGGAGATAGCAGCCAGACACGCAGACGAGGGACAAAGGCAAAGGGGACAGAGGTGGGCATGAGGTGACACTGAGGGGACAGCAAAGGGGACATGGTACCTGGAGCCACCCCCCCCCGGGGGGACACATGGTGCCATCATCCCCGATGACGGAGAGCAGAGGCAGCCCGTGGGCACGTGCCAGGGCCAGGTCGGGGTGACTGTGTCCTGGTGTCACCTTCACTGCCCCTGGAGGAGGGGACAGGAGATGTGGTGACACACCCATGGCTGCCACATCACACCCAGGGCCACCTCCTGTCACCCCCATCCCACTGTCAACCATCATCCCGTTGTCAAACCACCCCATTGTCACCACCACCCCATTGTCACTACTCCGCTGTCAATCATCCCACTGTCACCACCATTCCATTCTCAACCACCACCCCGTTGTCCCACCCCATTGTCAACCACTGCCCCACTGTCAACCACTCCACTGTCACCATCACCTCGTTGTCACCATCACCATCCCACTGTCACCCCCACCCTACTGTCAACCACTCCATTGTCACCATCACTCCATTGTCATCCCACTGTCAACCACCCCATTGTCAACCACCCCATCATCACCCCACTGTCAACCACCCCATCATCACCACCACCCCACTGTCACCATCACCTCGTTGTCACCACCATCCCACTGTCACCACTTCATTGCCAACCACCCCACTGTCACCATCCCATTGTCAACCACCCCATCATCACCCCACTGTCAACCACCCCACTGTCACCACCACCCCGCTGTCACCACCCCACTGTCAACCACCCCACTGTCACCACTTCATTGCCAACCACCCCACTGTCACCACCACCCCATCGTCACCACTTCACTGAGAACCACCCCATTGTCACCATGACCCATTGTCACCCCCACCCCACTGTCCCCATACCGGTGCCCCTCGTGGGCTCCACCGTGGGGTCGGTGACAACAGGCAGCAGCTGCCCAGTGAAAGGGTGACGGAGATGGCGGCCATGGAGGTGCTGGAGGGGAGGGTGGGGGTGGGATCAGCACAAGCCCCGCCCCCTAAAAAAAGAGCCACACCCACCCTATAGGCTCCTCCCACCCTATAGGCTCCTCCCACCCCATACCTGGTATCGGGGGTCCATGGGGTGCACGGCCACGGCCACGTCCCCCAGCATTGTCTCAGGACGTGTGGTGGCCACCGGGAGCTCCAGGCCTGGGGACAACCAGGGGTGATGGTGGGGAAACAAAGGAAGAGGGGGGGGAGGGGGGTGGGACATCGTTGGGGACACACTGGGGACACCAAGGGACATGCTGAGGATGTGAAGGAGGAGGTGGGTGTGTGTAGGGCACCAGGGGACACCAAAAATGACACCTCAAGGGATGGGGACATCAAAAGACCCCAGTTGGACATCTCAAGAGGTGGGGACACAAATGGGGACACAAAGGGACACCGAAGGACACAATAGGGATGTGTAGGAGGAGGTGGGTGCGTGTAGGACACCAGGGGACACCAAAAAAGACATCTCAAGAGATGGGGACACCACAGGGGACAGCAAAGGAC